TTCTTGATCCAGTCGTCTATTTTTGGGCATTTGGGTTGTTTCCAAAGCTTAGCTATTGTAAACAGTGCTGCTATAAACATAGGGGTTCAGGTGCTCTTTGGAATTGATGTTTCTGTGTCCTTTGGGTAAATACCTAGGAGTGGAATTGCTGGATCATCTGTCAAAAAATGGGCAGAAGAGCTAAAAAGAAACTTCTCTGAAGAGGAAATGCAAATGGCCAACAAGCATAGGAAAAAATGTTCAACATCTCTTGTAATCAGGGAAATGCAAATCAAAACTACCATGAGATACCATCTCACCCCAGTGAGAATGGCACATATTAAAAAAAAACTAGCAACAACAAATGTTGGTGAGGATGTGGAGAAAAAGTAACTCTCCTGCACTGTTGGTGGGAGTGCAAACTGGTCCAACCACTATGGAGAGCTGTGTGGAGATTTCTGGACCTACTAAACATAGAGCTTGCATATGATCCAGCAATTTTGTTGCTTCTTAAACTTTTATGGCTAACAAGCATTCAAGGTCCTTTATAGGTAGGCCTAAATCTGCCTTTCAGGTCTCATTTGTCACTCCCAATACAGGTCAACTGCATCTGTATCAGGTAACTTGCTGGTCCTTAACATGCCCATTCCCACTTCCATGTTTGACGCATTTAACCCATTTTAAACATCACAGTGTGTCCGTAGCCTTCCTTCCTGTTTGGCAGATTGTTCCCTTCTTTTCTTTTTTTTTTTTTTTTTCCTTTTTTCTTGGTATCTTTGTTGGTTTTGTTGTTAAGGTAATGCTGGCCTTATAAAATATGTTTGGAAGTATTTCTCTTTTCTTAAATTTTTGGATGAAGTTGAAAAGTTTATTTATTAGTTAATCTTTGTAGCTTTTAGAATACTTTGATTTTCCTATAATTTGTCAAATGGCAGATATTGGAGATTTTCTTGTAGGACAGACTTGGTTTAAAAGTTTTTGGTAAATGTCAACCTATAGTTTATGTGAAATCGACAATTGAAGCTAGCCCTGGGAAATGCTGCTTGTTGCACAGCATCTGGCTGGTTAAGAAAGACTGCTTCCAGGGACTGGATTCTAGGGGATGCTAATGAAAGATAACTTGGTCTGGATATCTTGAAAACATCGTTCCATGGTAAATCTTTTAGGGTGAGGATGATCAGTTCAATTTAACTCATATTATTGGGGTCAAATTTTGTGATAAGAACTTGGAATGCATAGTTGAATAATGCTAAGTCCCCATCCTTAAGAATATCATTGTCTCTTTAAAAACACATCCGCAACATAGTATTATATATATATAGTATTATATAATATATATATTATTACAACATAGTATTATCAGTGCTAGAATAAATGACTGCAGAAGGTGTGCACATATTAAAATAGAGGTTTTCTTAAGGAGGTGATGATATTTGAGCAGAGCTTTAAGGTTAATAAGTGTTTATCTGTTCACAGATGGCTGTTACTGTTTTAGGGAACCAAAAGTGAAAGGTATATTAGGAAGGGTGAGCATATTAGTTATTTTATGACTATCATCTACCACCCTTAGATATAGCCTCTTCCCTCCTCTGTTCCCAAGAAAACAACATTGTGACATCATCTGGATGCCCTTGTCTGCTGATTTCTCTCTAGGTTTGGCTAATGGCACTGGAAGATCAAGAATAGGAGGAGAGAAAGGTCTTGGTATCTTTCCCACTCCTTCCCTGTTTTGGGTCTTATTTCTGGCACAGACTGACTGAAATATGTCCTGCCTGCAGCCCTACTAAGGACTTCTCCACAGCTCCAGTTCTCACTAGGCTCTGATAACATTGTGTTATTATGTTACCCCTCCAGACCAAGGATTGTAATGACTTCTTAGACCCAGAGGGCTTCACCAATTCTTGTTGGTACCCCTAACTCTCCCTACACTTCTGAAATTTGTCAATTTTATTTCTTACAGGACTCTTACAAATACAAACTAGAACATTTATGGCTCCAGTTTTCACAGACTATAAAGTGAGTGGCTGTGAGAGAGGCAAGGGGATAGGACAGTGATGAAATAAAGTCTTGTTTCATGAGATACCTTGCGTGAATAGGTTAGAAAGAGCCTTTACAAACAAGTTTTGTTGGAATTTGGGAACTCAGGTGATTAATTTGTCTTTTGGGCAGATGATGCTAGATTTAATAGCTACTGTTCATTGAACACTATGTGTCAAGCACTTTACCTTCAATACCTTATTGCATCCTTACAACAAACTTTGCAGATAAGCACATATTGATCCCAAATTTACCAGTGACAAAACTAAGGCTCAGATTGCTAATTAATGAAAGAGGGAGATTTGTACTCATGTCTGTCTGAGTCTATAGTTTGGATTATTCATTTTTCCAGATGGATGGTGGCTTGGTCTATATGACCGTTCAACCATTAGACTTCATAAACCTATGTGGTAAGTAAGAATTCCAACTAAGCCCACTGGCCCATTCATTAACTAAAGTTACTGGTGTCAGACTTGTGAGGTGCATGCAGGGATGAGACTAAGACATCTTGAGGTCAATGCCTTCATATTCTGAAAATGTTCTTCCTGCAGGCCATGCCTTCCTAATGCCTTGGCAGAAATAGAACCATATTCTAAATTAATTCTCTTAGAATTCAACTTTTGGAAATGCCAGCTGCATCAGCTCATCTGGTGTAAATATGGCATTCCACAAAGAATGAATGCCACTCATAGTGCCAATCAGAAATTAATTAGCACTGGCACAGGCTAAGTTGACTTGTTTGGTAAGTCTGGATACCAAACCATAGTTTTGTGTCAAGTCTTAGGAAAATGACTACATGTCTCACTATAGCCTAGAGAGACATGTGTCATCAAACTCATTTTACAGGTGAAAAGTGAATACTTAGGGGCCTCCTTGGTGGTGCAAGGGGTTAAGCACAGCACCATGAAGCAATCTGAAGCCTCTGCAGCGCAAGTTCAATCCCTGGCTGGCCAGGGAGCAACCCACATTGTGCAGCAGACCTCTCCTGTGTCTCCCGCTGCTCCCTTCAGCAGGGTATTTCAGTTGTCTGCCTGTTCTGCTCCCTGCTCTGTCTCTGGTGAATCCTCTCACCCCCCACCCAACATCTCTGTCCTGTACCCCAGCTCTTGTATGCATAAATACATAAACCTTAAAAAAAAAAAAGAAAATTGAATGTTTAGAGAGAGGAAGTGACTCTCCAGGTATCAGATAGAAGACAAGTGCCAGAACAGACATAGGGACACAGACTCTATTTGCTTGACTCCCAAAGCTCACATTCTTTTCTACTTTCTCATGTGGGCATACTGCAAAACAGGTAAAACCCTCAGAATTGTGAGCTTGCTTTTGAATCCTGGTTCCTCCACTTCCCAGCTATATGACTATGAGAAAGTTGCTAACCTCTCTGTGCCTCAGTTTTTTCATTGTAAAGTGGAAATAATATCTATCTCATTGGGTTACTGTAACAATTAAATGTATTCATATTTATGAAGTACTGAAAATAATGCCTGATAGGTGGTCAGTGCCACATATTGGCTAAATAAATGTAAAATCCTTCTTATCCCTTTTAAATCACCAATTCTTCCATTTTAAGACCTGGAGAGAAGAAAAGAACTAGTTCATGAGGCAGACTCTCCTATAAGGAAATCAGCATTGCTCCTGAAGCTGGAGAAAGACCAAGGCTATTGCCTAAACTGGGAAGAACCATCCTGAAAATGTGGGAAGGCTGAAAGAGAAATTACATAGTGTCCATTAATAAACTCTTGTGGCTACCCTCCTTTGCTCCTTCACTACAGCTAGATTTTGCTAGGCCAGCTCTCTCTGAGTTCTCTCTACCATAAGATCTAGAGATGGCTGCTGAGGTGATAACAACAATAGAGATAGTTATATGGAGGACTGGAACTTTGACCATAGGTTACAGAAGCTGGGCTTGGGGATTATAGCACTGTGTGGCTCAAAAAGACATTTTTGTGTTTCAGATTACTTCACATTGGTATCAAGTTAGCAAATGTAGGAAGTGGCTCCATAGCCATAGCTCCCTGACCCAAAATTTAGGAAGATACATCTCACGGATAGATGTGTATATATCTACAGATGCCTTAAGGTTTCCTGGAAGTTTGGGCTAGGGATGGGAGAAATATGGTCTTGTCTTACAACTGAAGATTATGTGAGTGGAGAAAAGTTGATACTCATGAGGGAGACCCTGGCTATAAAGGTATAACCTTCATCACCATGGCCTGAGTATTAGCTATTACCCTTTATCCAGTCAGGGATCATGGGCCCTTGAACATGATTTGTACACCTTCTTTATTCTCTAAGACTGCCACCAGCCTAATGCCTGTTAATAAATATACACCCAACTATCCGATAGTTCTATTGGGTAATGAAGGGAGAAATGCACTATACTTACCTGGGGTCAAATCCCACACCACCAGTCTGTGTTATCAAAAGAAGATTACTTAATCTTGTGGAGCTTCAATTTCTTCTTATCTAAAATTAAGATCTCTCAGGGTTGTTGTGAGAGGGGAAAATAAGAAATTCAATGTATTGCCTAATTTTTTCTCTCAACTACCAGTTGGAATCCTAAGCCTTTGAAGATGTGAATTAGTACTAAAAATTCAAAGCCCTTCCTTCTTACTAAGCTTCCATAATTCCTTCTACCTTGGAATTGAAGAGGTCTTGATTTGCAAAATGTCCTTGTAGGCCTTAGGTGTATCTGAAGCATAATCATTAATGCATTAGTTAATTCAATAATTATCCCACCTCCTTTGCACTCCTGCAGGGACACCTTCTCAAGGCCAATGAATGCAGATGTAAGGATCACATCTAAGAATGTCACTCACATTTCAATCAGAGATTTGTATATTAACTACAATATTCTGTCAGATGTCAAAGTTTCTTGACCAAGGGGTGCTTATTCCAACTTACACAAAGGCTCCATATGAGTTAGGTAGTTTCTGCACCTTCTTAATCCCTGACTTGCTTCAAACATTGGTCATACCCTTACATACCCACCCCCTACCTTGCCTCACCTTCAGCAGCACATCACAAGTTATGAAAAGTTTCTTTTCCAAATACCAGTTCAACCCTAGATTTTGGGGGCATTTCTTCTTTTTCAGTAATGAAGATATACTGAAATGAAGATATACTGGGGGGAAGGAAGGATAGGGGTCAAAATAATGGGGTTGCAATTGTATGGGGGATATTAAAATAACATAAAAAATAAATGATCACTTTTTAAAAGATTTATTTATTTATTTATGCATACAAAAGCTGGGGTACAGGCCAGAGATGTGGGGGATGAGAGGATTCACCAGAGACAGTGGGGAACAGAACAGGCAGACTGACTGAAATACACTGCTGAGGGGAGCAGTGGGCGAGACAGGAGAGGTCTGCTGTGCCACATGGGTTGGTTCCTGCTGGCAAGGGATTGAACTCATGCTGTAGAGGCTGTGGATTGCTTCATAGTGTGGTGCTTTACCACTTGGGCCATGAGGGAGGCCCCTAAATGAGCTCTTCTAAGGGACAGCCATGTTCATTTGGGTGAAATAACTTGCCCATGGTGACAAAGGCATGAATATGGATTATGGTGTTAGTTTTCCTTCCCTGGAGGTAGAGACCTAGATCTGATTAGCAGTGGCTAGCAAAGAATACACAGGGAGCAACTGAGGAAGTGATGCTATCCATACACACCTACTCATATCCTAATGGCTCTATGAACTACAGTAGGATGGAAACTGCCAGATTTTTGATACCTAGATAGAAGAATCTCGATAACCAGAAGCCCGATGGATAAAGCCAGTACTGATAATATTACTGAAAACTAAGTTCCCAGAGTGTTGCCAAGGAGTGGGAAAAGGAGATGCATAAAGACCTTTTCTCAGCTTTGTTCTCCAAGACCAAGAAAGCCACCTTTTGAAGACACCTTTTATGAGCATTCTGAGGGTCTGGGTCTCCAGAAAATGGACTTCACAGAGTTTCCGAGGCAGTGATACAAATTAAATGCACACCTAATAAGATCATGAGGAAATTCCCAAGTGGATATATACTCTGGAGAGGACATTCCTGGCTCTCACCCATCTTAACCCCACCCACCTAGATTTGGAGTCTCCCTTTTTTCCAGCCTCTGAGAAAAAGTTGGGCACCTTTAATGGCCACCACCAATCCCATAAAATGCAGCAAGTTTCTAAATTTAACAGAATTGTTTGGAAAGCTCAGTTGTGATGACTTGGGTTACCAGAATGCAAGGATCCTGAGAGGAAGCTTATAGGACCAAAGGTGCCAGGGAATTTGAAATGAACTTGACCTAAATCTCCCCTCTAGAATTTCCCCTGTCTGGTGAAAGCTATAGGGGATTCTTTAAGGGAATGGTCTGAATTCCCCATTTCCTGAGTGTGGTAAACTCAGACAGATTATATAACCATTCTGTGCTTCTGTTTTTTGGTCTATAAAATGGGGTTAATATCAGTATTACCTCCTAGGACTATTATCAGACAAATTCAGTAAGCCCATACAAAGCACTTAAGAGACACATTTGGCATGTAGTAGATGCTAAATATGTGTTAGTTCCTCTAGTAAAGTGATAGGGGGAATATGTCTCATCCTGGGCCTTTAGGGAAACTGCTTCTGTCTTTCCTCCAGAATATAGATAGAATGAAAGCATTTATGGGGTTGGTCATCAGCAACAAGCTGCCATCTAAAAATACCACTAACTTCAAAAAGCCCCTCTCACATGCCAACTACCATTTTCTTGAATGTGCTGCCCAATTGCCTCTGCTGTATTTGAGAGGTGGGAAAAGTAAAATGACTGCAGGCTTTCTAACTAGCCATGTAGGTGGCATGTAAATTGTCATTTTATTATTGCACAGGATTAATGTGTTGACAAAATTATCTCTTTATGTAGAAAGACAGGGCTTTTGTGGGCAGCTGTTTCATGCCTATCTTAAGCAGCATTATGACCCCCAAGAAGACACCATCTCCTAATCTCCACAACTGTGATTACAGGGCAAGAAAGATATTGAAGATATTATTAAGGTAATTACTGACTTTAAAATAGAGACTATCCTAGATTATCTGGTTGGGTCTAATGAAATCATCCCACTGAAAAGGCAAATACTTAATATGAGAGTCAGAAGAGGAAGTCAGAGAGATGCAGCAGGGGAAACAAAAGGATTTGATGTGTAGAAAATACCTTGAAGGTAAAGGGGGCCACATGTCAAAAAAATGGGAGCTTCAGTCCTACAACAAGGAATTGAATTCTTTTAGTTGCTAGCGATCTTGAAAGAGGATTCAGAGCCCCAGATGAAAACCACATCCCTGCTGATAGCTTGATTTTAGTTCAAGTAGATCCTGAGAGAATCTAATCACACTATGCCAAACTTCTGACACAACAAATGGATTTTCTTTTAAGCTAAGTTTGTAATCATTTGCTATAGCAGTAATAGAAAATGATTTAATGTTGCTGGAACTCAATATGTACATCTGTCAAATGGGGGTAAAATGTCTTTCCTTACTTACCTTATAGGGCTGTTAGGAGGGCAAATGAGAAGCAACATCAGTGTTCTGTAAAGTTTCAGATCATAAAACTGTTAGGCTATGCTCCCAACAGGGTCAAAATATCAACCTGTTTTGAAGTAAATGGATTGAACAAATTAAGATCTTAGAACTCCTGCTACTTCCCAGAGAAAAGGGCTGCTTCTCCTCTCACATAAATTGTGCACATAATTTCTAAGTGAAATTAGAAAATGTAGGTCTAGGTCTATTCTCTACCTGTGTGACCTTGGTCAAGTTATGTCACCTCTGTAAACCTCAATAGAAGGAGGGTAATCATTGCTACTCTGCCCAGGTTATATGGTTCTGCAAAGCTCAACTGAGACAGTGAGCGTGAACATATGATGGAAGTAAAATACTAAGATGGAAGGCCTATTAGTCCTCCCAGTGCACCTTTCTGCTGGAAGCAGGTAGTTTGATTCTGAAAAACTATTCACCCAAATAAAGTGGAATTGAAAGACTCCTTGGGTGCTGCTATGAGATACTGTTTTTTACCATGGCTTTTGTGTTTGGCCTTAGACAGGTCTCTTCTCCTATCTGGGTCTGCATCTCCATTTTAAGATGTTAGTTTATAGACAATTGCCTTGAGATAATGGTTATCAGAATCACTGGAAAGATCAGAGGTCAATGGGAAATGAACAGTCATTTTCTCTGTTTTATAAGCCCCACCTACCCCAACCAACCATCCTACAAAAGTCTAAGTCAGAAGAGTTTATTAAATCATGCAAAGTAAACCCTATTCAGGATATAGGAGTTGATTCCCATGTGTGGGTAGAGTAGTTGATTCTTAAAGTAGTCTGGATTCCTTGTTACACTTTAATTAAAATACTGGTCAATTTCAAGCTGGTTAACTAGCCATGTTCCTCCCAGTTCTTTGCAGTTCTCATAGATACTGTTTCCTCATGAATATGATTTCCTCCTATTATAGCTCTTATTATGTGAATTAAAGATGCTAAACTATGTCCAAACAAAACTCAGTAAGACTGTCCATGTTTTCTCTATAATGTAGGCTACAGTAAAACCCAGAGCTTAGGATTACAGAATGTCAGAGCTGAAAAGTCCCTTTGAAATCACCTAGTTTAAATATAGACAATTTGACTGAAATTTAGAAAGGAGGAGGGATTTGCTCAATACTACAGAGAAGCAATGTTTGTAAGAGTAAAACTAAACCCTCCCCACTTCTGCCCAGGACACCATCGAGTTCTTTCCATTGTGTCGTGTTGACTTTCAACTGCCCTTGATGCTCAGAGATTTGAAAGTCAAGGAACTCTTAGTCTTCTCATTCCCTAGGCTGTTTTAACCATTCTTTGAAGTAGAGAAACTTCATTTATATGTCATCAAAGTACAGGGGCCATACAGAAAGTAGTGTAAGAGCTTGGCAGCTATGCACATAGTCTTTGTAAACATTTCCGGCATACCAGACTGGACTTATCCACTATTATTCTGGTCTTTGCCTCACCAAGATGTCTCCTTCCTCAACCTGTTTTGTTGTCTCAAAATCCTTACATCACTGAGTAGGAATCTCCCAGAGATCTTATTGAAACAGATTATGATTCCAAATGTCTGGGGATGGCCTCAGAATCTGCATTTTTAATAAGCTCCAGGTAGTGCTGAGACAGAGACTGACAATGGCCCATATTTGGAGTATCAAAACATATAGGTGTCATTTCCATCAATCTCATTTCTAAACATTTTCTCCATTTACTGGTGGGATTCCTTTTCTTTGCTACTGAGGTTAAGGTGGTGTGTTAAAAACAGGAAGTCTATAGCTTCTGGGCCTGGATTTCTTTCAATCCCTAAATGTGTGATCGTGGTCATATCAATTTCATCTTCTTGAGCTGCAAGTTTCTGTATCTCTAAAAATGAGGCTATCTTCTACATACAGTGATGCTGTGAGGTCTGAAAGAATGATAAGGGATTGGTTCAAAGTAGTCTACAGATTGAGATTCTTAGGTCCAAAAGGATCACATGCCCAAATTTCCTTAGAATTGCAGAAGACAAAATGAGCCATGTATGGTGGCTGCACCATCGTGCCTAATATGCTAAGATTGTTTCCATGACAAAACTGCACATGAAGGCCATACATACTAGGCAGTCTGCAAACTTTTATTGAAAGTCACATGAATGAGCCCCACAATCTCATTCTTTTTTCTGATGTTACAAACCTATTTCACATAGGCAGTCTTTGTAGCATCTATTAATGTCCTTGGAATTAAGTGCTCTTTTCTCTATGAAAATGAAGGCATTTATTTATCAAAAAAACATCTCCTCAAGATATCTTGCTTTTCTTTGCAATTTTGTCAATGTTTCTGAAGCTTTATCTGGGCTTGTAGTATGTCAAGGTCATTTGTTGCAGCTGCTTTAAAAATAGTATCATTGGTCTACATTCTCTCAAAAGCAATTTTCTCTAGTCGCAGAAATGCCTTTTCCTCTACTACTTTATTTGTTCTAGTTATTACAGGATCAAGGAGCTTCTTGATTCTTGAAAAGGAAAGGATGCTTTCCCATGATAGCCAATTATTTTAGAAGTACTCTACATGATACTATTTTATCACTGAAATTGGATGTTGAGTTTTGCCCGACGGAATCTGGAAAAACCCCCTTCCATGTTTTTTTTTTTTTTAATAAAAACTTCAATAATATTTCTTATTCTAAATATTTTGACTTTTGCTATGAACACAGAAAAAACTTTGAGGGATTTGACCCAAGGGATCAAGTAGCACAGAGGCACCAAGACCTTTTCCACTTCTTAAATCACATGTGAGGATGTCTCTCAGGCTGAAGCTGTATATATACTACAACCTTGGTGAAGTAAAGAGAGACACACAAGAACCTTATTTCTTTAAAAAATGATTAAGTCAAGGACTTAACAGCCGCCGACTAAAAAATAAATTCTTCATTTCACAAGGCAAAATTAAATGATCCTTTAAATAATATTCCCAAATGAGTACACTGAAGGTGAGAAGAAAGCCCAACTCAAAATTTTCTTCTGCCACAGTTTAGTTTTTCTTTAAACTGAATCTGAATCTTCTCCATTCCCTCAAATGTTTCATTTTAATATTTTGTTGGGCAGGCAAGAATCAGAGTCATGTCAGTTCTAGTAATAAGAGCTCTGTGTGGTAAAGGGAAAACTGCATGACATTTAGAGTTAGAGAGGCCTGGATTCAAATCACAGTTCTGTTACTTTCTGTATGAAATTGAGTCAGTTACTTTAGCCCCCAAGCTAAAGCATCTGCCTGCATGAATGTTGTAAGGACTAAATGAGATAACGGATGCATGTGAAGAACCTAATACTCAGTTGCTACTCTTCAATTATCACCCCTTCACATAGCCTTTTCTGAATCACTCTCCATCCAGCATACACGGGTCAAGCCAGTCTCATTCAATGACATTGTGTCCCACCACACTTTAAATCAGAGTGCAAAAAGGGAAGCACTGAGATTAATTATTTGGCATTCTTTGGGTATACCCCCGAGCAAGGCAAGGCTAGCCATTCACTGCTCCCTAGCCTCCATCCAGCTGGTGATTCCAACTCTCTAAGCCAGGTTTTAAATCTATATCCTAGGAAACATAGCAATCTCATGGCCATGTTTTCAGGATACTTATTCAACTGGAATTGCAGTGCTTTTCTCTGGTTCTCAATAATCTTTCAATATTTGTAGTGATAACTGTGATATTCTGTCCAAAGAAAAGCAGAGTAAAACCATGTCTCTATCAGGTACTGAGGCCCATTGGCCACTGCTTCTGTGGTCAAAATCTATATACCTGCCTCCTTTAATCATCTTAATCATCTAATGGGATGAACTAAGACCACAGCACTGAGACAAGCACTTACAGAGACTCCCTTTGGCAGTGAGCAGCAGCCAGAATAACATCTACTTGGATCGCTTGCCTTTGGGACAGGATAGAGCTGAGAGAGTTCAATATTCAACCTGGGAATTTCTTCATTGGGAATGGCATCACTTCCACTCAATTACTTCTACAATGTTCCTGTATGTTCCTAACTCATCAATAACCTGTGTTCAGAGTTTAGTCTTGTAAGTATCTATTGTCTTTGGGTAATATTCCTTCAAAGGCATCTGCATTGGTTTGGTTATGAGTGCATTCTTATATTTCATCTTTTCCTTTCCCTAAATCTCCCTGTCCCTCTTCATCCCCCTATCCCTATGTTTATGCTTCTCTCTCAGTTTATATATAATCAGTAAACTAGGAGGGATTGGCTAGAAGTATCCCAGTAGGAAAGCCCTTTCTCATATACTGGGCCACATTATAGGCCACAGACCCTAAAATGTCTGTGATCCACGTATCTGCACAGGAACTCAAGCAATGACACTTTCTCAAGTAGTTTCCCTTCTATCAATAGAAAAAGAAATCATAAATGCCGACTCCTCAGATTTCTGACTCACAACACCAATTGTGTTTTGGTTCCTTTCTAATGATTGAGATGTCAAATGAGTAAGATCAGGATCTTATGTCTGGAAGTTTTCCATTTGGTGGCAAAATATGTGAATCTCATGAAAGGGAAATGTTAAACCTTCAGAATGATGACCCTTGCTAGAAAGACCCCTTGCGAGGTTAAGTGCAGTACAATGGAAAGAACCTTGAAAGGTAGTCCAGGGATCAGGGATCTTGTTTAGGCATGACGACTAATTTTCCCTCCCCTAGTTTACCCAATAGTAAACTAAGTAGTTAGAATAAATGATTTTGAATGTCTCTTTCAATCAAATACTTTGGTTTGTAAAAAGAGTCTTTTATATAGAGGGCTAGGGTTCCTAAGCTTTATTGGGTCACAGGCTCATTTGAAAGTCAGTAGTATGTGATGGAATATCCCTCCAGAACAGACACATTGCTGTGGAATTCAGCATACAATTCCAGAGGCTTAATTAAGTTCCTGAATCCATGGACACTGGGATAAGAAATGCTTCTTTTGGGAGATAAAAGAGCTTATCTGTAGAAAGCAAATATAAAGCAACTGTGACAGCTGCCTGGCCTCAATCAATCTTAACAATTTTTCTTAATATTCAACCCAAAATGGAACTCTTGCAAGACAAAGTCTGTCTTTTAAAGTGAACTTTCAGTGTTTGTTTCTTTCTTGATGGCTTAGAAAGGAAGCTGTCAGAAGAAAACAGGATGAAAAATTATTCAAACAGGCCTATGCTTTCACATGCAAAACATGCTTTGCAGATTTGTCCTATGCAGCTGTATGCAAGAGCAGAAAGGCCACCTTCTTAAGTCCACATGGTGGGGTTGTGGGGTCATCACCCATGCTGTATGGTCCCACAGAAACAGACAGGTCCTTGGCAATATATTGCAGTGCCATACATCCAATCTGGTACCAGGGTCCATATCTTGAATAAAATACATGTTAAGCTTGTGCAATGTTCAGCAAACTTTCCTACTTCCTACTTCTAAGGTAAGCAATGGCCCCAACTCAAGTAGCTTTTAGCTCAGAGTAAGACCTCTGAGATCAGTCTTTAGGCCCAAACATTTCAGAGTTCTGTGGCCTTTTGAAGAAGCAGGAAGTTCAGAGAAGAGTTGAAAACTGAGCTCCTCTCTTCAACTCAGGACAGTGGATAGCTTGTTTCTGCAGAGTCTGGTTTCAGAGAGTTCAGCCATTCACAGACTTACAGCAGCTCAAGATAGACATTCTGAGGGAATGAATACAGAATACGAAGGATAAATAAATCTGTGTCTAGGACATTTACCCCTTATTTTATGGCATCCGAGAGCCTGAAGGTGCAGGGCCAGGAAGGAGCTGCTCCTCAGCACAAAATGACTTAGCACACAAGGGTTTGAAGGAGACCCTTCCAGAACCTGGAAAAGGACTCGAGGCCAAGGCGTTTATAACCTGAAAGGGAAATAAGAGAGTAAGGAACTTGCTAGGACTAATCAAGCACTTTAATAGCCAGTAAGCAATGGGGCCTCTCTTAGTAGGTAGTTAAACCTACAATTGGTTGCTGATCTTCTGAGCTGGCTAGGAAATGGTCCTTATAACTCACATCCCATAAAATGGCTTATGATGATACTATAATCAGGACTGGACACTGTGCCCTTGGTCTTAACTCAAATCCCCAAATAGTCCACAGGGAAAGCAAAAGTCTAATTCTTCTGAGCCTGATGCCCCAACTCTTTCTGTAGCATGGTCATTGCCTTTATGACTCTACAATAACTCCAAATTTCCTTTACTGGAACTTTATCTTGAAGTATGAGAAGGACTTTGGTCTTGGATACTGAGGATGGGTAATATTAATAGGAAGAAAAGGAGGGCTGGCGAGTGAATGAAAAGCCAAGATCCAGACACCTGGATCTAGATTTATGTGTATATCGGCTGATGTTATATCAGAAATCTGACAGTCAAAGAATTTCTAGGTAGAGAATTGCATGACTAAGCTTAGCAGCTCCTGTGATCTTTACAAGTCATTTATGCCCTTTAAACCTCAGTTCCTTTACTTGTTGAAATAGATATTATCCTCCATATCTTTGGTATTCTATGTGAGTCAAATTGCATAATAGATATGAAAGTGCTTGGCATTATACAAATATAAAGGTCTAATGATGAAGGTCCAGGTAAGTAAGAGAAAAATAATTATTTTATCTGAAGGAATGATGTTTCTCTACAGATGCTAAAAGGGATCTAGGCACCTGCTACAATACCAAGAGTGGTTACTGATCTTCTTATAGACACAAAGGATGCCAGATTTAGAAATTTCCAAACTTTTCATTTTACAAATTGGGAAATGGAGGCTCAGAGAAGGAAATGTATTTATCCAATATGCCACAGCCTTGATTCAAAGGCAATTTGTAAAGCTATACTGTAGTTTGTCTGGGGCAGAAAGGGAAAAGGAAGGACTTAAAATCAGAGGACCTTAGAGTTGGAGGGCAGCAGGTTTAAGGGTCAGATAATGATAGGGTAATAAACTAAGGCATGGTGGTGAGTTCCTATTCTTTGGACCAGCATGGTATTCCAGTCCTCAAATCTAAGATCCTACAACTAGGTTCTGTAAAAATTGGTGGAAATTACATACCTGTGGCCTCAACTCTCATCTCCAGGAAGTCTGCCTTGAGAGCTGTGGATGGAGGAGGAAAAACATTTTACTAAGACTCTATAAATCAGATCTGGAATGGGAAAGCATGGCCATGGGTGACTTTTGTAGGACAGTGACAAAAAAGCCATATGAAAAATGAGGAAGTGATTCCATCCAGAAGTTTCAAAGTATACAACTCCATGCTTATTGGTTGGGTTAACTCTCTGGCAAGTTTAGAGAGCCTAGTCTCCCAAATATGAAGCCATCTTTCAGGTGACAGAACAATAATGCCAAATTATGGGAGGCTAGGGGAGCCCAGAGAAACTGTTATCAAACCACACACTACATTATATGATAATATATATTAGGGAGAAGGACAGGGATAGAGGACAATGCCATATGAAACATGCATTCTCCTTTGCCTTGAAGACCAAACCAACCTTGCCAGTCTTTCGATGTGCTTAGATCTGTCCTAATGTGGCAGTTTGGAGACAACTGGAGGGAAAAGTTAATCTCTGAGAATAACCCCCCCGCCCCCCATAGTGTAATGAGAATTTCCCAGACAACAGCTGGGCCCAGGCTCTGTCTTCAGGATTGTTTGTTTCTTCTCTCTTGAGTCTATTTACACCCTATCCTTGATTAATTTTATTCTAATCCATGGTTTCATCGCTACCAAATACTGAGGATTCCTACCCCAAAGCACAATCTTTCACATTGTATTCTATATAAATGCCCCTCAAAGAGTTTTATAGTGGTTGTACTGAACACTTGCAGGCCTAAATTTATATAGGCCCAGCCCCAACTACTAGTCTAAGTTGCAGTTGCCCAGTGGATATCTCTATATGAACGCTCCACAGGGTCTTCAAAAACGCCATGTCCAAAATTGAGCAAAACAACTTTCCACAAAACTTGTTCCTCCATGATCAATTATTGTTATCATTTACTTAATTGCCTAAATTAGATGCTTTTCTCTATTATTTTCTAGTGCTCCGTAATTGAAAGCTCAGTAAGGTCTTAGTGAGCCTACCTCATGTCTGTCCCTTCCATTCCATTCCCATTGTCAATGCCATAGGTCAGGGCATCATTAACTCTTGCCAGAATGACTAACCTCCTAACTGGTGTTACTGTCTTGTATTTACTTTCTCATCCATCTCCCTATTATCACCAGAATGATTTATATTTTTGCAACTCAGTCAGCTCAGAATATGTATTGTCTTGCTTAAAAATCTTCCATGATTCAACATGGACTATTGTATGAAACAAACTCCTCAGTATTCCATACAAGACTTTAAGATCTGGCCCCAAAACATCTTTCTGACTTCACCTCCAACTAAGCTTCCCTCTTTTTGTCTTAAAATTCCAGACAAAGTGGGACACTAATCACTTCCTGAATCTGTTGCATAAGCTGTTGTGCCTTCCAGAAATGCCTTCCCTTCCTCTTTTTGATGAACCGTTTTTCATTGCTTTTTATTTTGTGTAATTTCTATGGAAAGGAGATGAATAAGGTAGTGAGGTTATTCAAATGTCACATTACAATTGGGTGTAAAGAGGGGAAGCAAAAAGAGGCAGGGCAAAGTTTAGAAAGATTGTCATTTTCATTAAAGATAAGAGTTTGGTAACAATGTCAATAGATGGGATTGACTGTGGGTAGGCTAAGGATCTTGACTAGTGATCAGCATGTATATACACTCATGCAAGTGATAGTTACAAGGCAGTAGCTTAGACAGGAGGGTTCTTTCCCTATGTGGATGCTGAATCGGAGGAAGTTCTCGGTATCTAGGATGGTGGTTTATGACATACTGAAGGACAGGTGTACTCAACTTTGTCTTACCCACATTCGTGCCAAGATGGGAACTAGAGATAAGTAACAGGAATAAATCCAGGTTACAGAGGCCCAGAAATAGGGTAGATAGAGCCGTGCTCCAGCCTGAACTGTCTACTTTAGCCGAAGCCCATAGATTGTGGTTGGTCCCAGCCTTCCCTGAGTACTAGCTGACCAAGTCCAGGCTGTATCCATGTTCTCAACCGCAGTTTGGCTATAGTTCCCCTAATATAAGTTGCCCTCACTTAAAGATTTGATTGGACTTTGTTCCAGCTCTTATATATCCCTCCACAATATATTGGTTCCTTGTTCAAGGCTACAGATCAATCCTTCATTTTTTGGTGAAAAATCTTTAAAACCCCAGCTCAGATATCACCTCCTCTAGAAATCTTTTCCTTAGATTTGCCTGATTCATTCTGTTAATTCTAATGTACTTCATTCTGCTTCCTTGGTATTTTTCCTCATATGACTTATCCAAAGGAGAGGGGAAGGACCACCAGGAGGTAGGAAGCAGGCCTGCTTTTAGGTTGGTAGTTTATTGAATTATTAAGATATCTCTCTGATTTTTATTTGTCAAGGTGGGTATTTGACTAAGACTGTTTAAAATTTCCTAGGTGAAAGCTTTATCTTCATTCTATTGGTAAGAAAATCTGGGGCCCTGAACTTACTTTTATCTGTTATGCTGGAATAATGGTAAATTATTGGCTAAGGAGAAGCTGACCCTGCCTAGAGGTCGCTCTGGCTGACTGCCAAGCAGAACTAGAGTGATCTGGTATGTAGAATCATGTCCTGATAAGTGATAACTCAGGTTTAACTAGATGATATCAAACTTACCCCAGTTCCACTACTGGTAAAGGCACATTATTTTGCTTTAAAACAACCGTCTAGAAAGTTACACTCCTGTCACACACCAGGAAGCACAGTTTCAAACTATCTGATAAGCAACATGGGGTAAACTCACAGAAGAGTCCCTGAAATCTAAGCAACCATTTTTCCAGGTGTTCTAGTCTCAAAGGCTTCCAAATATCAGACCTTGAACAGACTGTATCAGCATCTGTGGACTTTTAAAAGCATAAAGGAAGGAAGGAAACAAAAAAAAAAATAGGAAAGGAAGGAAGGATGCAGAAAACCAGATAATCAGTTCCATAACTGGAGATTATGTTTTACTGGTTTTAGAGAGGAAGGATGGACTCTGCAGGTTTACTCCCCCTCAAATTTTTCCAAGGGAAATAAATAAAGAGCTCAAAACAAACAAAAAAATAATATTCAGTGGAACTAGGCATAAAAAGCAGGTGACTTTAAAAGGTACTCCATCAGGCATTCATCAGACATTTCAATAGAAACTCTTCAGGTTAGGAGAGATTGGAATTACTTTTTCAACCTCTTCCAGATAAAAACTACCAGCCAAGAATAGTATGTACTGCAATACTCAGTTTCAGATCTAAGAGTGAAATAAAGGCCTTTCCAAAAAAAAAAAAAAAAAAAGGCAAAAGTTTGCTAATTCTAGATACCCCCTGCATGAAATGTTGAAAGTAGCTCTTCTGTATAAATCAAGGGGGAAAAAGTCCACAAAAAAAATAACAAAAAAATAGAACCAGAAAACTAAAAACAAAATGTCAGTAGAAAGCCCTCACTTATCAGTAATCACACTGAGTATAAATGAACTGAACTCACTCACCAAGAGGCAAATAGTGGCTGGCTGCATCAGGGGAGAGAGAGCGAGTGACTGACTCTACCCACAACACAAGTGAAGTATGTGTACATATGGAGGGGTAAATTTGTATTCCCCAAATCATAAAGTTAAGTAAATCACTGGCAAATTAATAAAATTTGAAAAATGAGAAAACAACCTACTGAATGGTAGAAAAATATCAGTACATCATACATCCAACAACATCTAATATTTTAGATCTACAAAGAACTCATCCAACTCAACAAGAAAACAAGAAAAACCTAATCAAAAAATGGACAGAAGATATTCAGATAGACATATAAATGGTCAACGGGAACATAAAAAATGTTTATCATTGATCATCAGAGAAATGCAAATCAAAACCACAATTGTATACCACCTCATTTCCATGCAAATGGTCCAAAATGAGAGGGAAAAAAAAAAAAAAAGAGCAAATGTCGGCAAGAGTGTGGGAAAAAAAAAAAAAACAACCTTGTATACTGTTGGTGGGAATATAGACTGACTTTGCCTGTATGGAAAACAGTATGAGGTTTATCAAAAATATTAAAAGTAGATCTACCTTATGATGTAGCAATTGAGGGAATATATGCACTGTGTTCATTTTAGCACTAATAACAATAATCAAGTTATGGTAACCCTAAGTGCCCAAGACAGATGAATGGATAAAGATGTGGTACATAATCACAATGGAATACTACTCAGCTATAAAAAAAAAAAACATGAAATATTGTTGTTTGTGACAATGTGGATGGGTCTGAAGGAGATTATACTAAGCAAATAATTTAGAATGAGAGAAAAAATACTAAATGATTTTGCTCATAATTAGGATATAAAGAAACCAAACGAAAGAGCTTACAGAACTAAAGCAAAAAGAAACCTTAGCATTGAGGCTACCAGAGTGGGGGTGGAATGTGAAGTGTCAAGAAGATAGGAAGCTCAATTACTATGTTGGAAGATTACTGGTGCTTTGGTGGTGGGTGTGATGTGGTAACATGTATCTGAAGAGGTATGAACCCATACCCCTAAATCACACACAGTATCATAAACCAATGTTACCTTAATAAAAGAAAAAAATTAAAAATAATTTTAATTAAATTACATAAAATAAAAACAGAAACAGAAAGACTGAACATGACAGACAACACAGAACAGAGATAAGTAAAAAAACAAGTAGTGACAAATATAAAGACAAACAGGTACAGAAATAAATACAGAGACATATAGTGAGAAACAGGCAGATGCAGAGATGGGCAGAGAGAGGGACAAACACAGGAGCACAGAGCTGCAGAGAAACAGAAAAGATAACCTAAGTCTGCAAAAGAAATGCTAATGTTGCATTTATCGATAAGTGGCATGGGGGCCTCCCCTGGTGGCGCAGTGGTTGAGCCCTGGGCTGCAAAGCTGCCTGCAGCCTCTGCGGTGCTGGTTCAATCCCCGGCCACTGGCGAGGGTCCCACATTGTGCAACAGATCTCTCCTGCCTCGCCCACTGCTCCCCTCAGCAGTGTATTTCATCAGTCTCCCTGTTCTGTTCCCTACTCTGGCTCTGGTGAATCCTATCACCCTCCCGCGCTTCTGACTGTACCCAGTGCTTGCGTGAATAAATAGATAAATCTTTAAAAAACAAATAAATAAATATGTGACATGGCTTCTCTTCTCTCACTTGTTTGTGTCTCTTACCTTCCTGTTTTCCGGGAAGCTGTTTCAAAGAACCTGGTCCTAGAAGCCACCCTGGAAAGAGAAGTCAACCAAGTTCTATGAGTTGTTCTGGAATACCTGTGGAACTAATGGCTAATTGAAAAGACAGAAGAGTATGAAACAGGTGGGCCACAAATGTTAGGGCCTGCCTTATCATGCAAAGGACCCTGGTCTAAGGAGAAATCCAAGTTTCAGAATGTGAAATTGCTCAGAGCCCACAGGAAACCTTAAGGCATTGGCTGATACCCTTTGCTCCCTGTCACTTCAGAATAGTCACCATATATTACTAATCAGGCTAGTCCTAGTTCATATTCTTATTCTTGGTGAAACAAATCTTCTGTTTCAAAGCACAATTTTTGGTGCTTTGAAAATACACCTAATTAATTAGTCAAAATAGTGGAGGCTTTGATTTTATTTCCCCCATTTTACAACTATGGAAAAGTAGAGACTCAAGAAAAAGAAAGATCAGAAGACAGTTTACTGAAAAGGGTCCCAGGAGCTTGTTGCAGAGAGTGCAGCTATGTTTGTTGTGATCAAGCAAGACTGGTTCCTGAGAATGGCAGTGGCCCCACATTAGACATTTTTATCTAGTTCCTTGTCTTATAGTCCAATCTCAGGAAGGCCTGTTGGATGTCATTTCAGCTACTAACATGCAAGAAGCTCTCTGGAGAAGAGGAGTCATTTTGGAATATTTTTTAAAAAATCATACCCTTGCTTATTTAAAAAAAAGTCTCAAAACACAGATACAATGAACAAATCTGTTCATTAACTTATTTTTTAAAAGAGTGTATGGTGGGCCTCCCTGGTGGCGCAGCATTTGAGCGCTGGGTTGTGAAGCTGCCCGCAGCCTCTGCAGCATTGGTTCGATCCCCAGCCACCAGGCGAGGGTCCCACATGGCGCATAGACCTCTCCTGCCACCTGCTGCACCCCTCAGCAGTGTACTTCATCATTCTGCCTGCTCTGCTCTCCCCTCTGACTCTGCTGAATTCTCTCACCCTCCCGCACTTCTGACTGTACCCAGTGCTTGTATAAATAAATATATAAAATCTTAAAAAAAAAATAAAAGAGTGTATGGTAATGGTTGGAAACTAGACTTTTTGGGGCAGTCATAATATGATGTTTATAGTTCCAGAATTACAATTCTATGTACCTGGAACTTACATAATGTTGTAGACTAATGTTAGCACAATAAAAAATTATTTTAAGGAAAACAGTAGCAATAACAGAAATTGGAAAAATTTACAGAGCCAAGAGAGCATGAAAATAGAAGGTAATTTTATCCACAGAGATCAGGGCAACTAGGAAAAATGGTTTGCCCTATTAGACACTAAGGTTCAAACTCTTCAGCTTTAAGAAATCCTCTCAGCCTTGAATGCTCAGTTGAACACTTCAACAAGGGGTGGTCTGTGACATTCCCCTAGACTATGAAGTGAAATATGGCCTAGGGATATGCTCTATATATCCTTCACAACCAAAATGGTAATCCTGAAAGCATTCCTGGTTACCTAAGATGGGCTTTAGATCAAGGTTTAGGAACAACCACACACTTACACAGATGATGGGATGTCTCCTGTATTGCCAGCCACAATATCTGGCTTTACTTCTGGTTTGGAGGGAGTTGTTACCCGGCAGGGAGGATCCGGAGGCCTCACTGGAGGTCGACTGATAGTTGGTTTTTCTCCTGAAGGTCTCAATTTGCTGAAACTGTCAGAATCTCCTGGAAAAGAGAACAGTACCATAAACTTGGCCAGTTAGTAAAATGACAGTACTTATGAGCATTCACCCAATATCTAAGTTATATGGATTACTTCTTTTGGTCCCCATTTATTTTTGATCATTAAGATCTCTGGATTTTTTTTTTTTAATTCTTGCAGAAAGTATGTTTGAACCCCAGCTCTGGAATGTCATATTTATGTGACTTAAGGCATGTCATATTAGTTTGCTATGTCTAATCTACATAATCAAGATAAATAATACATTGTCTTACAGAGGTATTGATGGGATTTAATTAGGTGCTAGTATGCTCAGATAGTGCCTGGCACATAGTATGCACTTAGTCAATGGTGAATTTCAATGTTATATCCATCATCACCAAAACTCAGGCCTTTTGCAGTTAAATATTGTAGTAGTTTCCTAACTTGCCTTCCTGCCTCTACATCTTTAGTTTCCCAGTCAGTTAGCAGAGTATTAATATGCTTAATTTCTTATAAAATGGTTCTGGCAGGGCTATGATAAAACAGACATAATGGTAGACACATTGGTGGTGGCACTGTAAACTGAGCTTATTCTATCTTGATAGCCATCAAGAATTCTTGGACACTGTGGCTGAAATGCACACTTGTCCATATGAGACAGTTCATACTTGTTGATCCAGTTGATCCACTCTGAGTAACAGACTCAAATGAATTAATCCAAAAGTAAAAACAAAGAAAAACAATTGGCATAAAAACACATTTCTTCATAGCAAAATGTTGAAGTCAACCACAAAGGGTAAGCAGATGATTCAGTTTTCACAAACATTTAATCAACATATACATATAAGTAGCAACTGACAAGGGTTTACACCAGATAGAAAATATACACATACAAAATAATATCAAGTGAAAAAAAATTCACAAAATGTGCTCATTAACCTGAGAAACACCACATGAAAAGAGACATGTGCAACTTTACAAGGGTGTTAGCAGATCTTGATATTCAAATTTTTTTAGTAGTCTTAACATTCACTACATCATTTTTTACAAAAAAATTAATGTAAAAAGTTTAAATGCAAAAATATTAAATTTAATCAATATGGTACTGTTGTAAAATTTATTCCAAGTATTTTTACACACTTTAAATAATCTTCTCTGTGAAGATTTTCCCAGTGGTTATAAAACACACATGATAGGGCCTCCCCTGGTGGCGCAGCAGTTGAGCGCTGGGTTGCGAGGCTGCCTGCAGCCTCTGCAGCATCAGTTCGATCCCCGGCCACTGGCGAGGGTCCCACAAAAATAAATAAATAAATAAATAAATAAATAAATAAACCCACACATGATAGTTCAAATTCACATGAAGTTGAAATTCCTTAACATAATTCAAGGCCCCCTGTGGACTGGCTCAAAATTATCGTCCAGCCACTAACCCTGAACTTTCACTACCAGCTCTATTCTACTCAAATTGGTCCACACTGTCCTATCAAAGCAAGCCCTTAACTCTTACCTCTAGGTTAGACAGTATAATATATTGGAGAGTGTAGAGAGTATAGAGCTGTACAGCACTGGTCTTGGGCCTTATTCTGATACTCCCAAGCTGTGGGGCCCTAGGCAGCTATTTCACCTACTGACTATCAATTTCCTCAGGTGATTGTAGGACTAACTTAAATGGCTTAAAGGGAGTACCTAGCATACAGCAGGATTAAATAGGCATAAGACTCTGTCCTTTTTCTTGCCTGACATGTCTCTATTCACATTTCTTATCTGTACTGTAACCATCCCTCAATATTCGGCTCAAATATAATCCCTGTGAACACTCCAGGTGGCATAGTAATTTCCATCCATTCAAATGCTCATGAAATATATCATTGGTGTGTGGAGTTTTTATAATTCTTCCAGCTAGCCAGTCTGGTGAGGAAGACTGGCATGACAACAGTTAATGATAATATAGTATGATTGGTGTTCTAATGAAGGAATAAACTAAGTACTATTTATGTACATACATATAAATTCTGCCTCTCCATCTAGACTGTATCTTACATTTCTGGACATACCATAACCCTGGCACCAGGGTGAATACACAAAATTGCAGCTGAAAATAAAATAATCAAAATTATAATAATAATCTGATTTTTCTAACACGCTATCCATACAAAGCACTGTCCCAGATAACTACTTAATGTTCACAATGAGCTTGGGAGGAAAGAATAGATCGGTCTTATCTGCTCCATTTTACTGACAAGGAAAATGAGGATCAGAAGGTGATCTGACTCACTCAAAATCACATAGTTATGTACATGGTAAAGTTGGAATGAAATCCATGTCTGCTGCATCTACTATTCTTAGTGCTTGTTGTCTTGTTGTTATTATTAGTAATATAAAAATTATAAGTGATGATAATTTTAATGATAATATAATAACTGGTAAATATTAGCTCCATTTTATTGAATATCTGCTCAGTTCTGGACACTGTGATAATCAGTACTTTATGTATATATTCACATTAACATTGGTCATAACCCTGAAAGGTAGAAAGTATTATTCCTATTTTACACATAAGAAAACAGACTCAGAGATAAGTAACCTCACAGGTATTTGGCAATAGATTCAGGTCCATCTGATTTCTGAAGTCCATATAATACCAAGTACCAGTAGTTTTCAACCTTGGATACACAACTGAGAACATTAAAAACATTCAGTAGTTGGGACTCAACCCCTGAGACCTTAGTTTAAATGATGGGGTGGAACCTGGGCATGGACATTTTTTAACATACCCCAAGTAAAACTATGTGTAGCCAGAGTGAGAACCACTAGGCTGCATGATGGAGATTGCTCACTGCTGACCATGTTACCAGAGCTGACAATGCTGTTCCAATTCTATTGGTTACTGGAGGGGTGATGAACAGGAAGGATCTGCTGCACTGTCAGGGCCAGAAAACATTTCTACCTGAAGCTGTGTCATTATATCATTTCCCTTCATATGTAAATAAAATGACACTCTCCCAAAATATGAACCCAATTGCTTCCAAGTTATAGCAACATTCAAATGGAAATCAACTCAAGTCCTTTGAAAACAAACATCATTAGCCTTGTTATAGGCTCATTATTGGGGGATCCGACTTTATGATTCATTGCAAGTCAAACTTGGAAGAAGCACCACGGGCTGTTTTGGTTAAAATGCATCAATATTCTCTCCTGTCTCTAGTTTGCCTCAGTCATAATGTCAAGCTGGGAAAGCTTGGATAAAAAGAGTCATATAACTGAGAGTCAAGAGATCTATCTTCTGGTCTTAATACTAAAACTAACTGTGTGACCTCAAGGAGATTACTTCCGTACCTGTACATTGTGAATTTAAACTGTTATCTAAAACAATGTGTTTATGATACAAGCCTATAGACCTCTATTTCTTCCTTGAGGATTTTTGTATGCTATTTTTTGGATTAATATAGAAACCAATTCTGATCATGCACTTAATCAGCTTGAAAAAAATATTTTGGTAGATAGACAGATGGCCAGACACATAGAAAGATGGATAGATAGATATGTATTTAGAGTTCACAGTTCCCTTCAGAACAAACTCAAATATATTTAACCTGGAGTTCACTATTTTCTTCCATTGCTTCCATGATTTAACTGATCTTTCTGATCAATCTCTCTACTATTTCTCTTTATGTGTCCTACAGCCTACAGAAACTGTTATTTGCTTTTCCATGCACATGGCTTATATTTAATTATCTTTTTCCCAGATGTCATTTACCTTATTCCCACATACCCAAGTTTGCATGATCCATCAAAAGAGTCAAAATGTCATATCTGTTAGGAAGCTTAAGAGGTTCCTAATTCCTCTCTCTGCTCTTAAGGACCTTATCATGTATTTTGAATCAGGGCTCTTTGTTTTGGTGGTTTGATCTCACCTGTCGGAATGGAAGCAACTTTAGAGCACAATCCACGTGGAACTCATCTCTGTATTCACAAGAGGCCAAAGTAAATGGCTTTGCATGTAACTGGTATGTAACTAATATTTATTTAGTAAAGAAAAATTCACTTTCATCCATTAGAAGGACAATGAAAAAAGCTTTCCTTTTTTAAGTCCTCAGTTGTGTCATCTATAACAAACATGAATATAATATCCCCAAGTGTCATGGCTACTCTGAAACTTAACTTACAGGGTGTCCAATAAGCTGGTATTTCTAGAGGGCTTTTGCTCTCACAAGAAATGCACATAAATGTTCCGACAGAATTTGCCTTCTAAGCCTTCAAACTGAGTGGAAAATGAAGAAGTCATGGGAAATATGTGTTAATAATTTACTCAGAATGCATACTAGTGGGTTGAACTTGGGAGGTAAGAGAATGAGGTGAATGAGAATTCCAGGGGGCAAGATTCTTAGAAGGCTTTGTGAGGGGGATAGGTCTTGAGCTGTATGTTGGCAAATGACTAAGAACCCTTCCTTGCCCCTTTCCCTCAACAATGATGCCACTTTTTCTGGGTGTTTGGTATGGTCAGAGACAGGTCAAAGTGGAAAATGATCTAATATATTTTATTACATGTGCATTTGAAGTTTCAGGCTGCAAATAGGTCCCAGAATACAGAAGAGTAGACACTTCTACCTCTTATGTCTTCCATCTCAGAGAGGTTGTTACCTATCCATTAGCACTGCCATTTTTTTAATGTCTGTTATATTATCTGCTTTGTACACCTGTCTTACGTATCACCTGCTTATATTACCTGCCTGTTGTATCTGCTTTGCACAACGAATATGACTTAATACCTGCAAAAAACAAATTGCTTGCAGCATGGGCATTGTCCCCATGTTGAAAAAAGCTTACTCACAAAAGTAAAGTCTATATAAGATGATGTAGCTGGTAAGTAGCCTCCTATCAACATAAAGCAATTTCTATTATTCACTGAGCATTCATTATGTGCCAGAGACATAAATATCTCATTTCATTGTCACAGTGATACTATGGGCATAATTATCATTCTCATTTTGCAAATGACAAAACTAAGGCTCAGAAAAGTTGT